TATATATATTTATTATATAAAACAGATATTAACTCCAGTCTGTTGAGTCTGTTCAGAGGCTGAACTCGCTCCCTGGAGGCCCTCTGGTTTTTCCCACTTAGATTCTGTCATATATAAACAGACAAAGGCAATAATCAAATGGAATATATTTAAAAAAACTAAACAAACTATAAACAGACACACTTTCACGACATTTTCCATTATTCCTCACCTCCTGTTATTGTGTTGTAGTAATACGTGTGTCCATCATCTGTTAGGCCTTCAACCCAAACCTGCTCTTCTGTTTGCTGTCTGACCTTACCGCTTGCCTTCGCTGCTTTCTTCTGTGGCTTCTTTGGCTGGGGTTTCACTTGAACTTGTGGCCGTGCTGTCGTTTGCTCCGGAGAGCTTAGACCTAAACACAAAGATGCTCCGCTGAAATAAATCCAAGGAATTATACTCACAGGTTAAAGAACATCCCCCGACAATTACCTTGCGCTTCTCTTTCCATCCTCTTCAGATCTTCCTGATAGGCCTTCAACGCAGCTTCCTCCATCGCAGCAAACTCTTTGGACATGCGTTCCTCCTGCTTTGCCTTTTGAATGCTCTTCTTCTTAATCTGCAGGAGAAAGATAGGGTGAGATGAGTGGCAGTGGCTTGTGGCCAATAGGGAGACAGTATTGCAGTCAGCTGTGTTTATGTCTGCACCTTATCTCTCGTGCCAGTCGTGAGAATGGTGCCAAGACAGGCAGGCTGCTCATGCCTGTGTGTATCACTCGAGCACAAACTGATAATGATAGTGTGCCCTGTGTGACCGTGTACTGGGGGCCATTTTATGCATAATAAAGCTAAAATAAATCAAAAATAGAGCTTGTTCAAGGAAGGAGTCAGGGTAAACAGTATAAAATTTGTGATATTATAGTGAAAAATATTTAAGAAAAAAAAATGTGTGTATTATGTGGTTCTTCTTTCAGTTGCTCCCTTTAGGGGATCATCTGCCACCATCTCATCTTATCTCTAGCGCACTCGCCTGTCACACCAACCCTCTGCATGTCATCCTTCATTACATCCATGAACCTCCTCTGAGGTCTTCCTCTTTTCCTCCTGCCTGGCAGCTCCATGTTGTCCAATATATTCACTATCCCTCCTCCACACATGTCTAAACCATCTCAGCCTGCTTCTCTAACTTTCTCTCCAAATCACTTGACCTGGGCTGTTCCTCTAATCCTGTACATGCTGGTCACTTCCAACGAATCAGAATCTGCTTTGCTGGCCAAGTGTACCAGTCTGCAAGTTTTTCGCTATTGAAGTAAACAGGATAGACAGACGGTACAGACAACAGCAACAATAACAACTTGTATACCATATACATATGTGTAATGGTACAATGGTGCAGTTTAAAGATGTTGGGATAAATTATGGAATAAAAAAAAGTAATGAATAACTGGTTACTACATATACAGTATATACATTGGAGGCTGTGACAGTTTATAGTTTTGTTAGCAGGTCTCACTACCATCATGTAAATCATCTTAGCTCTCTTGTGCACTGTCTATTGCTTTGGATAGTAGATCCCAGGTAATTCAAGACTTTATTGATTTTTACGGACACCTGTGTCTTTGTAAGTAAACAGACTGAAGGCCTCAATGGGAAGCTTTTCATATGAATCAATTTAGCACGATGCATGAAGCTCAATTTCTAGACTTGTGGATGCTACAAAATAGATCTTAATTTTATTATTTGCTCAATTATTTTAATAATTTGATAATATTATGTAATCTGTTACTTCGTATATTTAAAAAAAACAGAATAAAAGTTAGTACCTCTGAAATTTTGGCAGCCACATTTTCTTTGTGATTTTTCCCCCTTTCGTGGAACTCGATGCTCTGTAGAGAAAAACGCGAGAAACATTAGCGTGGACGCCGTCCTCGGTAACACGTAGCCACATCTTCCTGTATACTCACGGGCTTATTGTCTGCAATCCAGCACTTGCAGTACTGGCAGAATTTCCTTGGTTGTGACTTCCAGTAGTCAGCCCTACAAATGCAGAAATCAGTCAGACTGGCTGAATAACTGGCCATGTGTGTTATATATTTCAAAGCTTAAATAGCAAGAGTCTTGTCCCGTTACTTACATTTTTAAGTCTCTGTGGTGAAAATAAGATCAAGAACTTAAGAAGAATGAAATGTGAAGACGATTGCTTCACTCATTTCAAGAATGACAACATGGTCCGTTTGTGATGACGTCATCGACAGCCGCCGCTGAACGACAGACGGAGGTCGATACTGAAGCTCGATGTATGATGTCCCTCTGGTGGATAAAGAAGAAATCGGCACGTATTCTTGTCACCCTGCTGAAAGGTTTTTAGAAAACAGCAGCTACGCCATAGACTCCTTCAAACACCCTAGAGGGACGTACTGAAATTCGTTCATAATATGGCACTTTTTTTTTACCACAGCCATACTCGCGCAACTGTCAAATGGCAATATAAATATCCGACATCACACCCCTTGCTTAACGTCCCATATGGTCTAGCGGTTAGGATTCCTGGTTTTCACCCAGGCGGCCCGGGTTCGACTCCCGGTATGGGAACTACTATTTTTGTTAGTGAGTCTGCAGAACTTTCTTGAATCGCCTTACACTTCAGCTCAAGCACCTAATGCTCGTTGAAAATGGTACTTTTTTGGGAACATTGTATTGGTCCGCATGAGACACGATTACAGACAGTTGCGTCATCACTAGTGGCCGCTACGTTTAAAGGCAGCGACTGACCCACCGACTTTGCCTGAGCACGGAACCGCTTCGCCGGTGGGAATAATCGGTTTCCTGTACAGTTCCGTGCCCGTAGCTCCGGGGCTGCCCATGAACGGCACCATGGCCGCGTCTTCCCACCGGATAATGCTGGGGCCACTGGTTGCTGCTATCGACCAGGGCACGAGCTCCACCCGCTTTCTGGTAAGACAAACCGGAGACAGCAGGGGCAGGAGGGTCTCCTCTAGCTAGCGGGTCACATTTAAATGACTGTGGACAGAGCCGCCGGTGTCCTTGGCTGTGCTTTTCATGCGGGAACTCACAGTACTGTATCTACAGAGGAAATCGATATATTCATAACAAATGTCTGGTATCGTTTCACTTTACTGCAGTAGCAGTCTGTGCTCCCTGTAAAAAAACAAAACATAAGATAAACTAACTTATTCATCAAGTTGGATGATCGTGCCTGGTTATTGTTTTCCCAATAAATGTTGATTCTGAGCTTCTATCGGAATCTGTATAAAGGGAAAATTGTACCATGTAGGCCTCAATTCCAGGAATGGTTGACAAAGATTTGCACATGAAGGACATGGAGGCAAAAGAAGAAGAAGAATAAAGCTAGGAAAAATGCACTAGTTTCAGTTAACAAGTAGTAAACTTTCCGAACTCAAATAGTAATACAAGAAATATAAATTACATAGTATTGCCAAAAAAAAGAAGACAGAAACGTTAGACCGTATGTATAATTCAATGTATTTAACAAGAGAAAGGAAGACGAGCCACACACCCAAAACGGTCAGCTACTTTTGTTTTAACATGTGTTCTTTTTTAGTTTATGTCCTTGGGTGTGGCTGATAGTTGAGTGCCAAGAGTTTAATTGCTCTGAGTCACCTCAGCTGTCAGATAAAGACACATGGGTGAAGTGAATGTGTGTTCTGTGGCATTTAAACGTTTCATAACAAGTAAAAGGTAATATTTTTGCTGATTTTATTTATTTACATTTTTTTTAATGTAGTTTTGCACATTTTATTTTATTTATTGTTCCAGTGTTCTTGCACCGACTGTATCTTTGCATCTAATACCACAAGACACGTGCAGAGGTATTTTTGAAGGTGATAATTGTCCTGGGGTGACATATGCTATGCAGAGTTTACACTGCTTATCGCTTTAACACTTGCTTCCTCTAACACCGGTTGCATATTGCTATGTCAGGTCTGTCTAGGGTGTACCCCACCTCTTGCCCTGTGACAGCTTAGATAAACTCCAGCCCCCAGTAGAAGTGGAAATCACCAGAGACCCCATAATAGTGACATATTGTCACAGTACTTCAGTCACGATACAATATTTTTAACATTTTGGCGATATGCTAAATATTGCAGTAACATGGATTGCAATGTATCATCTTTTTTTCAACTGCAAATGATGTCTTTAATTTTTTTAAATCAAAAATGATATTATCCTGTAAGATTAAATTATCTCACTTTAGTTATTTTTTTCTTCTGCTAAATCAGAATGTCAAACATACCAACACTGACACTAAAACCTGCGATTATTGTTGCCATAAGGTGGCATTTGTGGATGTTTGCTGTCCTATTATTACTTGTGTAATCAAGTCATCGGCCCAATAAAAAATTAGCAAGTAGCTTTGTCGAGTTTGTCCAATGTCAATTTAATACAAGTTTTCTTGGCTAACGTCATCTCAAGATAGTGGTGCATGAGATGAGATGTTTGTAATATTCCCAGAGTGTTTTAATTAATTAATTAATTATTTTTCCCTTGATGGCAGCTGCATAGTTTAGAAAAGCAGGTTTGTGATTCAACGAATGACAGTTTAAAGCCCACAGCTGCTGGGAAAATGTAAATGATGGCGTGGAAAAGCCTTTCATGTTGTTGTGCTGAAACAGGAAAAAAAGCAGGCCTGGGAAGCTTTCCCAGAATCCTATCTGTAAAGGCACTGTGACGTTTTGTCTCTTTTAAGGTGTTTAATTCAAAAACAGCAGAGCTCCTCAGCCATCATCAGGTGGAAATCAAACAGAGCTTCCCAAAAGAAGGGTGAGTGATAAAACTACTGAAAATCCTCCACGTCACACCACACATGTTTATCTGTTTTAAAAATGGATTCTTCTCGCGATGTTAAGCTGGGTGGAGGAGGATCCCAAAGAAATCCTGCAGTCGGTGTACGAGTGCATGGAGCGGACATGTGAAAAGCTGACGCAGCTCAACATTGACATCTCCAACATCAAAGGTATGTGTGCATGGGGTTCACGCTGCCACCTGAGCACCATTTTCATCCATTTCAAAGCTCTGAAACCTCTGCTGTTTAAATTTGTCCAGCTATTGGAGTGACCAATCAAAGAGAGACCACGCTTGTTTGGGACAAAGAGACGGGGGAGCCTCTCTACAATGCAATCGGTACAGTCTGATATCTCTGTGCGACTTGTTTGATGTGTGTCCTACAGACCTGACATTAGCATTGAAATAAGCACTGACTTCTTAATGCCGCCTGATATTTGATATTCTATTTATTCGCTTTTTAAATCTTGCTTTTTTGAATTTATTGAGCTATTTGTATAGATAAAGGCACTTTATAGCTCTTTATTATTTTATTAAGCTGTTTACCTGGTGTAACTTGATTATATTCATTTAGACTTTTGTTTATTTTAGCTACTCAATTGAACACCTTCTTTTTGTGTAGTTTTAACATTTCAATGTTTGCTTTGTCATGTTGTTTTAGTTATAAAGTGGTGCTTTTCACTTCTGTTTGAGCCTCATTCACACACATACACTCACACTCTAATGAATGCATTGGGGGCATCTTGGGATTCAGTATCTTTGCCCTCGACTTCCAGACTGGAGGAGCGAGGGATCAAACCACCAATCTCACAATAAGTAGATGACTGTGGTGGAACAGCAGATTCACATCATGGATGTGCATGCTGTCATGTTATTATGGACCAAAACATCTGAGGGATGTTTCCAGCACCCTGCTTGGAAAATGTACCTAATAATTTGGCCAGTGAGTGTATGCAGCCTCTCAGTTCCCTCCAAAAAGCCAACTTTATTTTTATTGGCTCCCCCTCACCTGACTTCCTCCAACAGAATTCCCACCTTTGCATCTTTATGAGGACACAAGAAATCTGGACCCAGCTGGCATCAGCTTGGCACAAGAGCATTTATCGCTTAATGTTTTGGCCTGCAGGGATTTCTGGTTTATGCACTGCCATGTTCAACACAAGCAGCCATGACTGTTACTACATCAGGGTGCTGTTGGTCTGATTGTGGATGTTGTGAAATAACTGCCATGCCTCTATTTAGTGTGGCTGGACCTGCGGACTCAGTCAACAGTTGAGCGGCTTATAAATAAAACTCCAGGAAGAAATAAGAACCACTTGAAGGTAACGTTGATCCGTGTTTGAGTTTGCACTTTTGTTCTGTTGAGTGCAGTTTAGGTAGGATGGTGTTGGCTATTTTCATCTATTTGAGTATATAATATTTTTTAATCCCTGTGTATTTTGTGTATGGCCTCACATAAGAGATTCACATTCATGTCATTGCCACCCTGCAGCATAAAACGGGGCTCCCGATCAGCACTTACTTCAGCGCCGTCAAACTTCGCTGGTTGATGGACAACGTGGACGAGGTCCACCAAGCTGTGGTCTCGCACCGCGCCATGTTCGGCACAGTCGACTCCTGGCTTATTTGGGTAGTCACAGGCTTCCTTCTTTAAGAGAAGTCATAGACATGTTCTTTGAATAAAGTGGAAAACTATATTGACTTTATTTGTGTTTCTTTATTTGTGGCGCAGTGTCTGACAGGGGGTAAGTCAGGTGGAGTCCACTGCACGGACGTGACCAACGCCAGCAGAACCATGCTGTTTAACATTCACACGATGGACTGGGATCCAGAACTTTGCAAGTATGAGAGCTGAAAGTCACATCATAGTTATTTATGTATTCTATCATATTGGTGAAGAGGGTGGGGAAATACCACCTATAACACCTCTAAAATTATTCTGCTGAAGTCTCACCTCTCAATGCCATCAGATATTTTGGTATTCCTATGGAGATCTTACCCAGGGTGAGGAGCTCATCAGAAATATACGGCCTTATGGTAAGCATACGCACACTGTCTCTCCTAATCACAAAATCACTATAATCTGTGGTTATATTAACTTTTTACACTAAAGATTTCACTGTTAGAGTGACTCTAGTGTTCAGAGAGTGCATTGCCTCATGCAGCGAGACACTAAAAGATGATAAGAGTTTTGTTTTGTGTTTGTACTTACCTCAGTGTGCTTTCAGACTGTTTAAGTGCATGAAAGTTGATTGAGAAATTCTTTTAGGCATTTTTTTGTGTGCCATTGTCTCTCTTCTCTCACTGGTAGAAAATATGTTCTAGCCGGGTAAGTAAGAACTCACCATCCCTATTTTCCTTCACATGCAAAGCCAACCCATCCTGCTTTTAACCCAACACAAACACACCATCACTCAGTGCATTTCCAAGATTCATATGAAGGCTAATGTTTCCATTAGATTAAGCGTCAAGCA